GGCATGGACAAATGTTGAGACATTGAGGAGAAATAGAAATCACCTGATGGGGAAAGAGATGCGTGAGTAGACTGCAGTCCAATTAAAAAAAGAAAAGACAGAATCAGGTGTGGTGATACTTGCTGTAATTCCAGCATTTCGGGAGTGAAAGTGGGCAGATCACTTGGGCCCAGAAGTTTGAGAAAAGCCTAGGATTTCACCCAGCCTGGGTGAAACCACATCTCTACAGAAACAATCACAAAAGTTAGCTAAGCATGGGGGCATGTGCCTGTGATTCCAGCTACTCAGGCGGCTGAGGCAGGAGGATCGCTTGGGCTCACAACGATGAGGCTGCAGTCAATTATGATCTCACCACTGCACTTCAGCCTGGGTGTGAGAGTGAGACACTCAGTCTTTAAAAGAAAAAAAACAAAAAACAGTAAAAATAATGTTCTAAGGTCAGATCTAGTACAAAAACTGGCATCTTATTCTGTGACGTTTAGATGCTATAATTAAAATAGAACATGGAGGTTTTCCATATGAATAGCTGACAGATTCCTGTACTTTTTATGGAGCTGCATCACATTCTATTCTGTAGATATAAGGTAATCTGTTTAACTAGCATCGTGGTGGAAAGTCTAGGTTGTTCCCAACATTTTGCTGTTAAACCAACAATACAGTGAATAACCACTGATTAGTGTCATTTTTCATGACTGTAGTGTGACAAATTTTTCCCCAGTAAAGTTTGGGAGGGAGAAAATATTGTTTTTTTTAAATTTTGACATGCATTAAGACATTTTACTCTCCAAGGTTTGTACATATTTTTATGTCCAAGAAAATTAGGTGGGGGGGTAATATCACCTCAGCTGCTCTCACACAAATATCCTGAGTGACAGGACTTAGAGACACAGGCACAACGGTCATATCTCTGGTGCCACACAGGGCAGGGGCATCTGGATCCTGGGAAGCTCCAGGAAAGGTGAGGATCCCCTCCAGAAGACACCCTACTAAGGATCAGAAAGGGGCCAGGGAGTCAAGAGATTACAGCACGTCTTAAACTATGGGAAAGTTCAAGTGGAGGGCATTAAGGTTCAAGGAGCAAGCTGAGGTGAGAGGGGTAGAGACTGATGGAAAGAGAAGGTAAAAAGCTCTAGGGAAGCTAGGGAAGGCACATGAGCTCTCCACTCCTCCTCAGCATTGAACTTTGTAGTGGTCATGCTGGTGGGGCTCTGTGAGCTGTTCAACACTATCTGGGGACTCTACCCACTCAAGGCCAGCAGGACTCCCTCCCCCAGCTCTGACAACCAGCAATGTCTCCAGACTTTGCCAAATGCTTTTCCCAATGAAAAATTTCCCCTGGCAGAAGCATTAATCTCACTAATCTATAAAAGCAAATCACCACTAAAATCCATCACCTCTTGGTAGAAGATTTACAAGTGTGAGAGGGGTAAAATGGAGGTCTTCAATATCTACTGAAATGACTTTTACTTAATCAGCAATTTGATGTCCCAGAAGGCATGTTTAGAGGTGATGCCACATGGCTGCCTGTACCTCACAGCAGAAAGGGTGTGGGTTTTCCAAGGGTTTTAACCGTAAACTGGAAATGTCTGTAATGTGAAAGGGAATGACACCGACTGGGTTACATTAAAAAATTGATAGGGAATTCTGTAGATATTGGAGAAAAAATACATAATGTAAACAAACCCCATTCTGATTCTCTCACCATGTTAGGGCCATCTTGTCTATCTGTGAATGGTAGCATAGAGATTTTTGTATATTTCAAAATGGTACTGTTGGATCATTTTTAAAATAGGAATAAATCCCAAACTGGATGAGGTAGCTGGACACTGCTGGAGTCTCACTTTTGCCCAGGAGAGCTGACAACATCCTGCTCCCCCTGGCCTGGACACTGTCTGACTCAGGGGCAAATGCTCTCTTATTATGGAGAAAGATGTTTTGAACATTCTCATCATTCACCCATTCACCTCTCACACCCGTTGACCTCTGAAACCTCTTCTCCACTCCTGAATTTCATTCTCAATTTACTGAGCTCCATTTCTGTCCCTCATCCATTCCAACATGTGTGGGTCCAGGTGGTGGCTTCTGCCCATGGTTTTGTAAAAAAAAAAACAAAACAAAACAAACAAGAAACAAAAAACAACAAAAAGACTTTCAAAATTGCTTTGCCTGAATCCTCCTTAAACTGACCTACCCTGCAGCACCATGATCATACCAGCAGAATTTGGACACTTTTTCTGGTAATCAGATGCTTTCCATCTCTCATTAGGAAATGTGACTCTCTCCACCCTGCATAAAGATTTCCCAGTAGAAATCAACACAGAGATACTGCCTGTGTGTTCCCAAAGGAAATGGATTCTATAAGAACATGTGAAAGCTGCAATTATAGAAAAGACCACGTAAAACATGCATTATGTAGATGATTCTCACCATTCCTTTAAGAGATACATTGTAAAACATGACATTAATAATTATTCTAGAAGAATAAAGCATGCATGCTGTTTTCTTAAATTAATTTTAATAAGGTGGTTCCTCCCATGTGCCCAGGCTGGGATCTGAACAAAATTCTCCATCTTCAGGGGCAATGCCTGAGAGGATGACATGGACTTAGGCCTGATATGCAGCCATTTCTGTCCACCCTGCCCCTGCTGCAGGACAGTACCAGCCCAGGGCCTAAATCTCCTGCTGAAGAGCTGAGAGAGAAAATGGAATATCCAAAGCCTCTTACCTTTTCCAGTCCACTTGAATGGGTACCAGTGCAGTCCATTTGCCCCTGAGGACACCACCTGCTGGTCTTTGGCTTTTAAGAGTCAGACCTCACTGGCTTCTCTGGGTCCCAGCTGCTTTCACTCTGCTGAGCCCTGCTCTTTCCATGGGGGTCACTCCCTTCCAGGCATGTCCTCCAGCTCCAGCTGACAGGTCAGCCAAACCAGAACCAAGAGAATCAACAAAGATTTCAATATCTAGTGTGTCCAGTAGAGATCTAAACTGCACAAAAAAATAGAGAAGTAGAGAGGCACACAGCTCCCCTGACAACATTGTGTCCCAAAGCAATGTCTTCTGTGCCCCTCATTAAGGAGCTCACTGTCTCTCACCACATAAGCAAGTGCTTCCAGGGTTCTCAATTCCTCAACGGGAGGCAACACACATTTCAACCCAGTACTTCAGCAAAGGAAGTGGAGATAATTTACCTATTGTGATAAAGTTCCTGAAAAGATCCCCAGACTGCAAAATTCTTCCTGAAATACGACAGAAAAAGCTTTTCAATTGCAAAACGTTGACCTCCTTGCTTTAAAAAAGTACCCCTGAAAGAGCCAAAACAATTTTGCCAAAATAAATTGCAGAACTTGAACTTTCTTATTTGAAATCTCACAAAACATTACAAGTACTAAAAACAGAAGCTGCTGGCATAGAATACAAATAGGGACCAAAGGGATAGAATTGAGAGTCCACAAATAAACCCTCACCCTTATAGTTCATTTCTCTTGAATAAGGGTGTCAAGATAATTTAATGGAGGAACAATCATCCTCTCAAATAATGGTGCACAAACAACTAGATAACCACATGCAAAGCAATAAACTTAGAGAACTACTTCCAACCATATCAAACAATTATCTTAAAGTGGATGAGTGAGTTAATTATAAGATCTATAACCACAAAAACAACTTAGAAAAAGACATAGGGGTAAAACTTAATGACCTCAAATGTGCAATGGATTCTCAGGTATGACCCAAATGCATGAGAAAGAAAAAGGAAAAATAGATAAATTGGGCTAAAGGCAAGCCTTTTGTGCATCAAAGGATATTATCAAGAAAATAAAAGACCAAACACAGAATGAGACACATAATAGTTGCAAATCACATAGACAATGGTTTCATGCCCAGAATATATAAAGAACTGCTACAACTCAAAACAAAGAGAAAACCTCCCAATTTATATAAATGGGCAAAGGACGCAAATAGACATTTCTTCAAAGAAGATATGCAAATCATCAAGAGGGACATGAAAAGAAACTCAACATCATTAGTCATTAGGAAAATACAAAGTCAAAGCCACAATGGATCCCACACTAAACCTACAAATATGGCTACCATTCATTTCAAATGTTAAATAACAAGTGAAAGCCTTATGTAGAATTTGGAATCCTCATACATTGCTGGTGAGATTATAAAAATGTGCAGCCACTAGGAGAAATAGTTGTGCTGTTCCTCAAGAAGCTAATCATAGAATTCTCATGTGAAACAGCATCCATTCCTAGGTATATACCCAAAGAATTGAATCCAGGGACTGAAACAGGTACTCGCATGGGAATGTTGATTGTAGCATTACTCACAAAAGATAAAATATGAAAACAATCCAAGTGTTCATCAGCACATGAATAAACAAATGTGGTCACACATACAGAATATTAATCTGCCATAAAGAGGAATGAAGCTCTGACATCCTGGAAGATGCATGGACTTTGGAAACATTATGCTAAGTGAAATATGTCAGAAACTAAATAACATATATATAAATTCCATTTATATGAAACATCAAGAATAGGCAAATTCACAGAGACAGAGTAGAGATGATCAAGGTCTAGGGTGGAAAATACAGGGAGTTATTATAGTTTCAATTATACAAAGTTTCAGTTTAAAATGATAAAAATTTTCTAGGAAAAATAGTGGTGATGGTAACTTAACACTGTGTATGTGGTTAACTTGCATTTGATTGCACATTTTAAAGTGGTTAAAATAGCACATTATTCACAGAACTGTGCAAAATCGATTTCTATTATTTAATTGACCCAGGCTAAGGTGTTTGTTATGGCAGCTGAAGCCCATGAATACATCATCTGATGTTTTCATGAAACGTATCAGTTTTTCAATCAAGTTAGCTGGAAGCTCCTGTCCCCAGAAGAACTGCAGGTCCCAAAACAAGAGCTCCAGCAGGGGTTCAATGAGCACAGGTCCCACAGGGCAGCCTCGATGTCAGGCCCTGGATGGCATGTGAGGCTATAATGATACAACCACAACGTGAAAGTGTAAAGTGTTTTTACTACTTAGAGACACTGGGGAGCACTCGCACACCTGGAGACCACAGATACAGAGGTCAGCGAGCCCAGGCAGGGAGGAGAGAAGAGAATGGTAAGCCAATGTCTTTAGTAAGTCCGGTGTTATCTGACAGTTTCCAGCAGGAGCTTTAATGGATGTGTTAAAGAAGTAGCAAACACTGGGACAGGAGATCACACTGTGATTGAGAAGTGGTCACTTTAAATGTAAGGGCAAATGTCAGAATATCAGTTTAAAGAAAGTAGATGGAGAGAGAGGAGCCCAGCACACCAAGCAGGAGAGATGCCTCTTAGATTTTATCGCTGGCCACCAACTGCAGTCACTTGAACCAGATACAGTATTGAAAACTGCCATGGTGAGCAAGGCCTGCCTCTGATGTGAGGCAAATAAATTTACACCTTAAAAAGGAATGCCAAGGCAACATGACACTATGAGCACTCATGACATCCAGGGACACCAGCAGGAGTTCAAGAGCAGTCTGCTCAACACAGTGAAGCCCAGTCTCTACTAAAAATACAAGAAATTAGCAGGTGTGGTGGTGTGCTCTGTATCCTAGCTACTCGGGAGTTTGAGGCGGGAGAATTTCATGAGCCTGGGAGGCAGAGATCGCAGTGAGCCGAGATCGCGCCATTGCATGCCAGCCGGGGCGACAGTACGATACTCTGTCTCAAAAAAAAAAAAAAAAAAAAAAAAAAAAAAAAAAAAAAGGAAAGAAGGCTCTGTTGGAGCCTGGATAGGGGAAATATACCAGAGAGAGACGGGGTCAGAACAGGAAAATCACATTGAACAGGAATTGGTAAGAGGTAGGAAAATCTCAAGTGTTCTGTTTTGCTAGTTGATCATCACTGGTCATCACATTTTGAAAAATGATAATAATAACTATTATCAGATTACACTTCAAATGAAAATATAAGCAGGGTATGAAACATTGTCCTCAGCCAAAAACCTCAACAATTGGGGGAAGAAAAAAACAAAAACAAAAACAAAAACACCCCGGGCATGGAGGACCCTGGGAACTCTCACATGTACAGGAGTCTACAGCCCTGAGGCACTGGGGTGCAACCAAGATCACTAACGTCCCTGTCCTCATGGAACTCATGCTCTCATGGGCAGGAAGACAGACATGCAAACGATCTAGAATGTGAGGTCAGGTGTTGACAAGAGCTCCGGAGGGAGCAGAGCAGGGAAAGGTCAGAAAGGAAGACCCAGGGTCTCTGAAGGAGGTGTCAGGAAAGATCTAAGGACGCCCTGATGTGAGCAGGACCTGAGGGCAGTGTGGAGGGAGCCGTGCAGACCTCTGGGGAAGAGGATTCCAAAGAGAAAAATGCCGAGGTCAGAAGCGTTGAAGGAATGAGGGTCGTGCCACTGGCCTTGACTCAGTAGGACAGTAAGACACAAACACACAATCACACACACACAAAAGGGGCCTGTGTGTGTGTGTGTGTGTCTTCAAGGCTGATGATTGAAGAACTCTTCTCAGGACCCAGGGCTCCATCTTTTCACCCCAATACATAGGTCTCAATATTGACTGATGCTCTCTCCACCTCCTAGTATTACTTTTCATCTTCTGGAACCCGCCCACCACTGCCCAAGTCACGATTGAAGCCCAGCCAGCCAAAGTTTCCGAGGGGAAGGATGTTCTTCTACTTGTCCAGAATTTGCCTGAGAATCTTACTGGCTACGTCTGGTTCAAAGGGCAAATAATGGACTTCCATCAATTCATTACAGCGTATACAATAGACACTGAAACAATTATATTTGGGCCTGCATACAGTGGACGAGAAACAGTATATTCCAATGCATCCCTGCTGATCCAGAATGTCACCCAGAATGACACAGGATCCTACACCATAGAAATTATAAAGCGAGGTGATAAGATTAAAGGAGTAACTGGACATTTCACCTTATACGGTGAGTGATTCCACATGATCCCTGGGTGTTGGGGGGCGGGGGTCACTTCTACTTTGCACACACAGGATGGTCAGGCCTGGACTGTGCCTGTGTCCCTCTCTGCATTATGTCCCATGTTGGGGTTTTGGCATTTAGTGCAGGACACACACAGAGGAGACAAACCTCAACAGATCAGAATTCCTTTCCTGCCTCCAGACCCTGCAGACACTTGCTGCACAGGAAGGACAGTCTGATGGGGGGAGGGTTTCTCAGCAGGAGGAGATCAGCCTCAGCCAAGCACCTCATGTCCTCTTCATAAACTTGACCCTGAGAAAGACCCTGGAGAACTGAGTAGGGCTTTGCCTAAGAGGCCCCCTGAGATACTCTCAGAGAAGCTCAGCCCTAGAAGCCTCAACCCCAGACCCCTGTCCCTAAATCCTTACTCCAGATAAAGCTGGAGCCTGTGCCATGGCTGGGTTGTGGCAGGGCTTACTGGGACCAAGGATTTACCAGCTGTCTGAGGACTGTGTCTCCTGGAGCTGCTCACTGCCAGGGCTCAGCCCTCAGAGCATCATCTGGGCAAGGACAGAACTTTCTTCACCTGACACTCAGAGTGGAGAGGACAGAAAGACAAGCTTTGTAGACCATCAGCCAACTGCCTTGTGAGGCTTAGGACACTCCATAGAAACTCTAATATCCCCAGAAGCAGAAACAGAAGAGAGAAAATGTACCTGGCAGCAGCTTGTCCACAGGGATCTGACCTAAAGGTGCTCTCTCATGGAAGTGAATAACAATAAATGCTGTTTGTGTGAATACCTCCACTGTGCCAAGCATTAAGTCAGGTGACTGTGAAGAATTTATAATTTATTCACAGATAGCATGAAAAGCCACAGTCCATTGGCCATTTAGCTTATTTGACTGAGAGAAAACTGAGGCACAGGAAGGCACAGTCACTGAACCAGAGTCACACAAACACAAAAGGCAGATCAGGGTCACATGAGGTCTGTCTGCAGCCACGGGCCCATCCTCTCCTCCACCAGAAGTGAGGGCCTATTGGATTCCAAGGACCCCATAGTCATTTATTTGCTCAAATCCTCTCATCTTCGGCATCCAAGCCTCAGAGGAGTGAGAGCAAATGGTCAGCTGATTAGTCTGTTCTCCAGAACTAAATCACCTACCTCAACTGTCAGAGTCAGTGCAAAAAATGTCCAGGCCTCCCCCTCAGATCGTAACCCGTATCACTGACCTGAAATCCTGTTTCCCAAAGTGTCCATGTCACTGTCATAACAGGATAAAAGAGAGGACCTTGTTCCCGTTCCCCACACACACCCCGCACCAGCACTGGCCCAGTGAGAGACACACGCTCAGGTGCTCTCACATAACAAATGAAGGAATTGAATGAAGAAATGAATGATCCATAACCTCTTTAGACTGTATCTTGGATGCAGAATCCTAGGAAGTTCTAGCCACACCTGTCCCTTTTCCTTCAGAGGCTGACACCCATGTTTCATCCCCCCACTACCTCTTGCCCCTAAAGCCACCCCACCTCATGTATAACTCTGAAGCTCTTTGGTCACTGGAGGGTTATCAGGGCTCCGCTTGGTCCTGGAGGTGTGGAGAATGGGTGCTAGCAACTCACGTCTGGGGGTCTCTGAAGTCACTGTAGCCCCCACTGTTCTGCCAGGCTGTCTCTGCCTCTCTCTGCTTCTCTGTGTCCCTCATCTTCCTCCCACTTCATTCTACCTGGCAAGCCCTGCCCTGCACAAGCTTTCCTCCACCCTAGCCCTTCCCAGACACTCTCTCTCTAACTAAGGCTGATGTTTCTGTTCCCTTCTGCTAGCACTTGGTGGTGGCCCCACCTCCCAGGAAATAGAACAGGCCAACAGGAATCACTGGAGTTGTCATCCTGGCCAGGCTTCATCTCAGCTAAATGTCCCCAGGTCACTAAGAGAATGAGCTTCCACTTGTATCCCCCCAGGGCTTTTCCTTGTGAGGCTGATCTGTGGACAAGACCATGGGACGGGATAGGAAGCTCCTCCCATCCACTCTTATAATTCCAGACAAGTTCTTCTGGCCTCCTGCACACACAGAACCAATTTTCCCGATGGTGATTGCAGTAAAGAAGAGATTTTAATGAGTCCAAGTCTGGCCAAACAGGAGTATGGAGGTTTATTATTACTCAAATCAGCTTCTTAGTGGATCAGGGGTTAAAGATTTTTCAAGGATAGTTTCAGGGGCACAGGAGTAAAAATGGGTACTGCTGATTGTTTTGAGGATGGAATCATTGCGGGCGGCGGGAAATGATCTGTTTGTGCTTGAATCTGACTCTAGGTGGGGACACGTGACTGCTGAGCCATTAGTCACGGGTATGGATGAGGTCAGTGGGTTAGCAGAATGCAAGAATGAGAAACATCTCTAAAGACCAATCTCAGGTTCTACATAGTGATGTTATCTATGCAGCAATTAGTTACAAATTTTGTACACTCTGGGCCAAATGACATTTGAGCAGTAAGGGATTATAGAACTGTGCCTCATTTTAGCAGAATTCAGTTCCTCCTATATCTTAGTCTCATGGTCTTTCCACCAGTTTTGCAAAGGCAATCCTGGGCAAAATAAGGGAATTAGTTTATGTTTTTTTTTTTTTTTTTTTCTTTTTTTAAAATTTATTTATTATTATTATACTTTAAGTTGTAGGGTACATGTGCATAACGTGCAGGTTTGTTACATATGTATACTTGTGCCATGTTGGTGTGCTGTGCTGCACCCATCAACTCGTCATTTACATCAGGTATAACTCCCAATGCAATCCCTCTCCCCTCCCCTCCCATGATAGGCCCCGGTGTGTGATGTTCCCTTCCTGAGTCCAAGTGATCTCATTGTTCAGTTCCACCTATGAGTGAGAACATGCGGTGTTTGGTTTTCTGTTCTTGTGATAGTTTGCTAAGATGATGGTTTCCAGCTGCATCCATGTCCTACAAAGGACACAACTCATCCTTTTTGATGGCTTGCAATAGTATTCCATGGTGTATATGTGCCACATTTTCTTAATCCAGTCTGTCACTGGATGGACATTTGGGTTGATTCCAAGTCTTTGCTATTGTGAATAGTGCTGCAATAAACATACGTGTGCATGTGTCTTTATAGCCGCATAATTTATAATCCTTTGGGTATATGAAACTATTATTATTTCTTCAAAGTTAATCCATAAACTACATTCCACCCATGGTTAGCCTGGCTAATGTCCAGGATGGTGAGGACAGCCAGCCTGAAACTAGATGCAGATGGAGTCAGCCATGCTAGTTCGCTGTCACTGGTTGTAATCTTTGCACTGACTGACCAAGATGTCAGAGGCTGGACAGGCCTGCAGTCTCCAAAGCCCATGGGCTGATTTACCCATTTCAATCGGTGACTCCATCCTCAAACCTACTGTGGAGCTCAATTCCCAGTCACTTCCTAGAGACTTCTGGGTTTCCCGTCAGGCATAAAGAAGCTTGAGGCCGGGTGCGGTGGCTCAAGCCTGTAATCCCAGCACTTTGGGAGGCGGAGACGGGCGGATGACTAGGTCAGGAGATGGAGACATCCTGGGCTAACACAGTAAGGTGAAAACCCGTCTCTATAAAAAATACACAAACTAGCCGGGCGAGGTGGGGGCGCCTGTAGTTCAGCTACTCGGGAGGTCTGAGGCAGGGAAATGACGTAAACCCGGGAGGCAGAGCTTGCAGTAGCTGAGATCTGGCCATGCACTCCAGCCTGGGCGGACCAGAATCGAGACTCTTGTTCTCCAAAAAAAAAAAAAAAAAAAAAAAAAAAAAAAGAAGCTTGATATTTGTTATTACTTGGTTCTAACAGTAAGTAAAAAGCTGACAACTCTCTAAAGTCAACAATTCGTTAAAATCCTCGAGATGGCCAGGCAAGTGGTCACGCCTGTAATCCTAGCCACTTTGGGAGTCTGAGGTGAGCGGGATCAACTCAGGTCAGGAGATCGAGACCATCCTGGCTAACAGGGTGAAACCCGTCTCTACTAATAAACAAAGGAAATTAGCCAGGCGTGGTGTGGGTGCTATGTCCCAGTCCTCGGTCTGGAGGCTGAGGCAGAAGAATGGCGTGAACCAGGGAGGCGGAGCTTGCAGTGAGCCAAGATCATGCCAGTGCACTGCAACCCTGGGCAGAGTGAGACTCCGTCTCAGAAAAACAAAAAACAAAAAGTGCTGTTAGAGAAATGAAGAATGCTTTCGATGCTTACTGGTAGACTCCACACAGCTGAGGAAAGAATCCCTAGCTTGAGGATGTGTCAATAGAAACTTCGAAAAGTGAAACAGGAAAGTTCAAAAAGAGTTGGGGGAAAAAAGTGGAACAACATATTCTACTTCATATTCAACATTTTGTATTGACAATAGCAATTTTTAAACTTTGTAGTTGCGGGACAACTACCAAGGCTGTAACATACACGTAATGGGAATACTGGTGGTTTCGGGGACCTGTTGCAGGTGGCCATGTGGGTGCTATCTAGTGGTTTTAGTGCCTGTGCCACATACAACTGTTTCCTCATGATGATACCATTTTCATAAGGTGGGGTTCTTCTTGTGGGCGACACATGAGCCATTGGCGTCTCACTTAGACTCTTCCTAATTCACACAAACTGAAACTCGAGTTGTATTTCCTGAGGTTAAGAGAAAATGAAGAAAGCATTTCACATACCTGTTCTGGGCTCCTCCCCATTTTTCCTAACTCTGCACAGAAATTAGAAACAGGGAGTTCCTTCTATATTTACTACCATAACACACATCACTTCTTTTAATCGGCGTAATTCCTCCCTTTATGTAATTGACACACTGACCAGTTCTGTCCTTTTAACGGGACTCTCTCTACTTAAGTACTTGCTAATTTCAAATCACGGTTGGTATCTTTCTTTGAGCATAATGTGATCCTGCTGGAATTCACCCCACACCTAAACCTTAATTGGGTATCAAGAGAAATATTACTATCAGCAATTGATCTTAGATGTTTGGACCATCAGTAAAAATTTCCACTTATGACAACATTTTAATGTTTCCTCCAAAAGTTTTTTTGTTTTTGTTTTTATTTTTTTTGTTACTAGAGTCAGAACATAACATGAGGTCTAAACTCCAGAGAACTTTTTTAGGAAAATTACAGTATTACAAATTAAGCATCCCAAATCTGGAAATTCAAAATCTGAAATGCTCCAAAATCCAACACTTCTGACCACTGATGTGATGCTAAAAAGAAGTGCTCACTGGAGCATTTTGGATTTAAAATTTTTCAGATGTGGGATGCAGTACATCTACTGCAAATATTCCAAAAAAAAAAAAATAAAGTTAGAAATCCAAAACACTTGGTTTTAGGTTGTCTGCATAAGGAACACTTTATCTGCATGAACTCTTGCCTCTCCCCTTCACTCTTTGTAGGTCATTCCTTGGACTCTATCTTTAGAGGTCACTGGCTCAAGTCAGTCACTATGAGACAGCTGGGAAAACTGCCCCACCTTGTGGCTCCACTGCTTGATGACTGAACTGACCTCCAGGCTTGACTCTGGTCTCCCCTGTGTTATTTCTGCTGAAGTACCCAGTCCCAGGCCAGGCTTCCCAGTACCCAAAGGGTTTAAGGACAGTGGGAATTTCCATCATCCATCTCTAGGATGTCCTTGAAAGGGAAGCTGCAGAGAAAGCATACCTTGGGGGACAGAGTAAGACTGAAACTAAGAAGATTCCAGCACTGCATGCTCCAGGTGAGGACCACAGGTGGGCCAGGCAGGCAGTTGGAGAGGTAAGGATTCAGAGAGGCACCAGGGGCTGTGACTGCTGGTCCTGTGTCTTTCCATGACCCAATGCTGCTGCTCAATTCACACTTGAGAAAGTCTGTGCTTCTCCCACATAAAACAGGCAGCCTCACAATCTCTGAGCCCTCAGATTGCCATGCATCTGTCTTGTAACACACACACCTGCCATGGGACCTTTAGGGACTTGGTTGGTTTGAGAGGTGGGAAATGCCATCTCTGATTGAAAAATGTCTTTGGAGGAATCAAAGGTGCCACACAGGGCAATCTTCTCTCTGTTATCTGCATAGTGGAGACTCCCAAGCCCTACATCTCCAGCAGCAACTTAAACCCCAGGGAGGCCACGGAGACTGTCATCTTATCCTGTGATCCTCACACTCGGGATGTAAGCTACCTGTGGTGGATAAATGGACAGAGCCTCCCTATCAGTCACAAGTTGCAGCTGTCTGAAAACAACAGGACCCTCGTTCTATTTGGTGTCACAAAGGATACTGCAGGACCCTATGAATGTGAAATGAAGAACCCAGTGAGTTCCAGCCGCAGTGACCCAGTCACCCTGAATCTCCTCTGTGAGTATTTTCTGTTCCTCTGTGTGTCAGGCTGCCATCCCAAATATACATGGCCAGAGGCCAGGCCTCCCAGTCCCTCTAGGTGCAAGTACAGAGACTTTTACCCCTGGATATCAAAGCTGACCATGTCTACTAAGAGTAGGCTTTGGCTTGATAACCAATGGGAGAAGAGGCTGCTCCTGTCACAGGAGACTCAGGGTCCACAGCTTATGATGGGAAAAAAAGGTGAATGTCTCAGGCTCCAGATCAGTGAACACAGCAGGGATTTGACTGGACTTCAGTGTTGTGACTTAGCTCACAGGGTCACTGTGGCCCTTCCATAGACCAGGATTTTCCCTTCCCTCTGACAACATCACCTGTGACTTTATTCTCTTTGCTCCAGATGGCCTGGATGCTCCCACCATTTCTTCTTCATACACCTATTAGGACACAGGGGAAGTCCCCAAGCTCTCCTGCCTCACAGACTCTCACCCACTGGCAGAGCATTCTTGGCTGATTGATGGGATGTTTCAGCAATCAGCACAAGTGTTCTTTATCCCCAGATCACTAAAACATACAGGGGTAAGTCATATGGAACACCTGCAGAAAACTGCCCCACCTTGTGCCTCCACGGCCTGATGACTGAACTGACCTCCAGGCTTGACTCTGGTCTCCCTGTCTTATTTCTGCTGAAACATCCAGTCCCAGGCCAGGCTGCTCAGTATCTTCAGGGTTTCAGGACAATGGGAAGTCCCATTATTACTCATCTCTAGAATATCCTTGGAAACGGAAACTGCAGAGAAATCACATCTTGGGGGGAAAGTAGGATGGAATTTGGAAGGGGCCCAGCAGTTGCACATTCCAGGTAAGGAACCCAAGGTGAGCGAGCCAGTCAGCTGATTAGAGAGGGACTGGGAGGGGTACCTGGGCCTGGGACTCCCACTGATGTGTCTGTCCGTGACCCAACACTGCTTCTCATTTCACACTTGAGAATGTCTGTGCTTCCCTAAGACAGAGCAGGTGGCCTCACAGTCTTTGAGCCCTTAGATCATGCATCTAATGACACATGCACCAGCTGTTGACTTTCAAGGACTCAGGAGGGCTGACCGGTGGGAGATGCCAACTCTGATTGAAGGATACCTGTGGAGGAATCAAAGGTGCCACACAGGACAATCTTCTCTCTGCTGTCCACACAGCAGAGCTGCGCAAGTCCTACATCACCAGCAACATCAACCCCATGGAGAATAAGAACGCTGTAGCCTTAACTTGTGAACCTAAGACTCAGGGCTACACCTACATGTGGTGGGTAAATGGTCAGAGCCTCCCGGTCAGTCCCAGGCTAAAGCAACCCGGTAAAAACAAGATCCTCATTCTACCCAATGTCACAAGAAATGACACAGGAACCTATGAATGTGAAATATGGGACCGAGTTGGTAGCATCTGCAGTGACCAGTCACCCTGGATGTCCTCTGTATCTTTGTTTCCTCTGTGGGCCAGGCCACCAGCTTAAATCCAAACTACCAGAGACCAGACATCTCAGTCTGTCTCAGGTCCACTTACAGACATTTTATTTCTGGACACCCGAGTGGGACATGACTCCCTGCCCTGGAAAACCTGGGTAGGCACAGCCTTAACCAAGAATATAAGGGGAGGGGATGCTCTTGTCATGGGAGACTTGGGGTCTACAGCCTGTGATGGGAGAAACAGGTGAATACCTCAGGCCTTGGCTCAGTGAACACAGAACGGGTTTGGCTGGGACTTGAGGGTGTGTCTTGGCTCAGGGGGACATTGTGTCAATTTAGGAGACCAGGAGCATCCCCTTCCCTTGGACAACATCACCTGTGGCTTTATTCTCTTTACTCCAGATGGTCCAGACATCCCAGCATTTTCCCTTCATGGACCGACTACCGTTTAGGACAAAACCTCTACTTGTACTGCCTCACGGACTCTAATCCACCGGCAGAGTATACTTGGACAATAAATGGGAGGTTTCTGCAATCAGGACCAAGGATCTATATCCCCCAAATTACTACAAAGCATAGCGGGCTCTATCGTTGCTCTGTTCGTAACTCAGCCACTGGCAGCGAACTTTCCACATTCAAGACGATCAGAGTCTCTGGTAAGTGGATCCCTGCATCACTGGCAATAGGGTTTTAGGTGGAGTCTATCTGGCTTTCAGAGAAGAGTCAGGAAAACATTTTTATTCCCAGTCTGTGTCCCATGGGTAGAAGCAAATCCTAAATTCTCCTTTTGAACCCTCCTAAATTGTCTCTACAGACTCTCTTCTCCCTGTTTTCCTGTTTTCTCATGGCTGACTTTGTGTCCAGTCTGACAAGGGTGGGGAGGGGGCTTTTTCAGCCCTGAGCCCTGTGTTGGAAGAGGCTTCACAGAGGGACAAGAAGGAGAGTCCTCAAGGTCACGTTGCTTCTCGCTGTCACCAACACATCCCTTTCTGCCACGTCTTTGTTTCCTTTTACCTACTCCATGAGCTACAAGGAACATCTGAGGCTTTGAAACAAGCTCACATTTTTCCCCTAAATGAGAGGAGGAAGCCCCTTGGATGAGGGAGGAGCAGCTCAGACTGCTCCCTTCTCTGCTCCAGGCTTCTCTGGTGACTGGCCCTGCCTGACTCCACCTGGGGTGAGACCAGCATGTGTGGAGAAAAGATCCCTGGTGGCCTGTCCTGAATTCGGCTAAATCGAGCTGCCAGTTGAAGTGAAGCCTAGGCTGCAGGGAAATAAGAAGAGAGGGAGCCTCGGGGAGAACTCTTGAGTTGTGTCCTGGCTCTGAAGTCATTGGCTGTATGAGGCTGTGGGCACTGCATGTGGGACACAGCACAGAGGACAGTGAGTGATGCACACTTGAATAAATAGGGAGATTCACCTCTGGGCTCTGCATGGCAGGAAAGGGGCAATGAAAAAAGTGTGTATTTATAGAATGTAAGACTACCAGGACACTTTATATATATCTAATATAAGACTTATCATTAACTGTTTCTACGTGTGCAATTTAGTGTTGTGTAACCATCACACTATCCATTTCCAGAACTTTTTCCTTTTGCCATATTAAACCTCTGTACCCTATAAACAGTAACTCTCACTTCTTCTCCCCCTAACCCTTAGCACATACCATTCTACTTTCTGTCTCTATGTAACTGGCTATTCTATCTTTTATAATGGAATTATAGAATAATTATCCTTTCGTGTCTGGCTTATTTCAGTTAGCCTGATGTCTTCAAGGTTCATCCACTTTGCACGATGTATTGGAATTTTATTCCTTGTTAAGGTTGAATAACATTTCGATGTATAGATATACCTCATTTGCCTACCCACTTATCTTTCAATGACTTTTCTGTTGTTTCCATTTTTTGGCTATTGTGAGTAATGCTTCTCTGAACATCAATGTGCAAATATTTGTTCAAATTTCCTTCCATTCTATAGGCAGTATGTCCAGAAGTGGAATTGCTGGGTCGAATGGTAATTTATTGTTTAATTTTTTGAGAAACAGCCACAACCACTTTTTACAGTGGCTATAACATTTCCCATTCCCATCAGCAATACACTAGAGCTCCAACTTTTCCATCTATTTGAAAACACTTGTTGTTTTGTGTTGCTGTCGTTGTTTACCAAAGCCATCCTAAAGTGTGTGAGGTGGTGTCACATTGTGGTTTTGATTTGCATATCTCTATGTTTTCATGACGCTGAGGAACTCTGCATGGGCTTATTGGATATTTGCATATCTTCTTCGGAGAAAACTCTATTTTAATCGTTTGTTCATTTTTAATTGGGTTTCTGGATGTTTGCTGTTGTTCACTTGTAGTTTTTCATGTATTCTGGAAATTAATTTCTTTTCACACTCATAATTTGCAATAATTTTCCCATTTCATAGGTTGCCTTTTTACTTTCTTGATAATGTTCTTCAATATATAAAAGGTTTTGATTTTTATTAAGTCCAATTTATCCATTTTATTCGTTGCCTATGCTTTTGTTCCTATAACCAATAAATCATTGTGAAATCCTATATCATGAAGCTTTTCTCCTATGTTTTCTTCTAAGAGTTGTATAGATTTTGCTCTTACATTTAGATCTTTGATCTATTGTGGGTTAATTTTTGTATATGGTGTTAGGTAAAGGTTCCACTCATTCTTGCCCTGGGATATCCAGCTTTCCCAATATCATTTGGTGAGAACACTGTCCTTTCCCCATTGAACGATCTTGCACAGTCGATGAAAATCATTTGGCCATATGTGTAAGTATTTCTTTCTGGGCCCCCTGTTCTATCTCATTAATTTCTATGTTCTCCTTTATGCCAGTACCACACTGTGTTGGTTACTGGGGCTTTGTAGTAAATGCTGACATCAGGAGTTGTGAGTCTTTCAACCTCATTCTCCCTCTTCAAAGTTGTTTGTCTATTTAAAGTCATGAGATTTAATATAAATTTTAGGACGGATTTTTCTTTTACTATTAAAAAGTCACTGAGATTCTGAAGGAGTTGTATTGAATCTGCAGCTCACTTTGGGTAACATTGTCCTCCCAACAATAGTGAGTCTTCTAATCCATGAAACCAAAATGTCTTTCACTTTATTGATGTCATCATTAAGCAATATTTTATGGATTTCAGGTATAATCATTTCACCTCTTTGGTTAAACTTATTCCTAAATATTTTATTCTTTTTGATATTAATACAAATTAAATTGTTTTCTTTTTTTTAATTGTTATTGTACTTTAAGTTCTAGGGTACATGTGCATAACGTGCAGGTTTGTTACATATGTATACTTGTGTCATGTTGCTGTGCTGCACCCATTAACTCGTCAGCACCCATTGACTCGTCATTTACATCAGGTATAACTCCCAGTGCAATCCCTCCCCCCTCCCCCCTGCCCATGATAGGCTCCAGTGTGTGATGTTCCCCTTCCCGAGTCCAAGTGATCTCATTGTTCGGTTCCCACCTATGAGTGAGAACATGCGGTGTTTGGTTTTCTGTTCTTGTGATACTTTGCTGAGAGATGATGATGTTTCCAGCTGCATCCATGTCCTACAAAGGACACAAACTCATCCATTTTTATGGCTGCATAGTATTCCATAGTGTATATGTGGCACATTTTCTTAATCCAGTCTATCGCTGATGGATTTGGGTTGATTCCAAATCTTTGCTATTGTGAATAGTGCCACAATAAACATATGAGTGCATGTGTCTTTAGAGCAGCATGATTTATAATCCTTTGGGTATATATACCAGTAGTCGGATGGCTGGGTCATATGGTACTCTATTTAGATCCTTGAGGAATCGCCATACTGTTTTCCATAATGGTTGAACTAGTTTACAATCCACCAACAGTGTAAAAGTGTTTCCTATTTCTCTCACATCCTCTCCAGCACCTGTTGTTTCCTGACTTTTTAATGATCACCATTCTA